TATATATATATATATATATATATATATATATATTTAATTTATTTTTAGTTATGTGTAGGTGTGGGTTTGATCCATGAGTGCAGTTCCCCTCAGGGGACAGAAGAGAATGTCCAGTGCCCTGGAGATGGACTTACAGGTAGTTGAGAAGCACCTGATATGGTGCTGAGAACAGAACTCCAGTCCTCTGTAAGAGCAGCACATTAACCATAACACCAACTCACCAGCACCTAGTGTGGTTTTTCTTCTTTTTTTTATTTATTTGTTTGTTTGTTTATTTGTTTATTTATTTATTTGCTTCATTACTTATGTTTATTTATTTGCTTACTTATGCTCTTTTGTGTGTGTTTAAATTTGGGGCTTTTGTTTGTTTGCTTGTTTTTGAGACTGGGTCTCACTATGTAGTGTTAATTGGCTTAGAACTCAGTATGCAGACCACACAGCCTCTGCCTTCCAAGTGCTGAGCCACCACACCTGGCAATTTACCCACTGATCCATTTCTGTATGACTGTGTGTGTGTCCCTATGCTGTATCATAGTGCATAAGCAGAGGCAACAGGACAACTTGTAGGAATGGGTTCTCTCCTTCTACCATGTGACTTTCAGGGAGCAAACTCAGGCCCTCAGCCTTGGCAGCAAGCTCCTTCACCTGCTTAGCCTCCCTGCTGGCCCTTCGCACAGGCTTTTAGTTTTACACAAATGAATCATGAAGTCTTCTTTATCCCTATCCCCTGCCCCTGCCTGGCAGCGCTGGGGATTGAACCCATGTGAGGCGTGAGGCGGATGGTCAGCCACTGAGATGTGTTTCCAGCTTAGTTTGTAGTCTCTTGTTAGGTGTCTCGCGCTCAGCCTCACATTTTGGAGACTTGCCTGTACTGTGCATAGCAAGGCCCTTTCACCCAGAAGCCTTGGACTTGTGAAGGCTGGGTCTGAGCTCGGCTCTGGAAGGCTCACGTGGCTTCTGGCCGGAGAGGTTAAGGAGGGAGTAAGAAAACAAACGGGTTGGCTGGCCCACCCAGGGTGCAGATCAAAGTCAGAATTTGTGAGCAGACCACAGTAGTGAGAGAAGGAAGTACTCGAGGATGATGGGACTTGTCCTTGCAGTTCCTAGGTTTTTGTTGGAAAGAAATGGTGGCGTGGTGCCCTCACTGAGCTGGTGTGGTGCCCCCGTGGAGCTGAGACGCACAGTGATTACAGGGTGGACGGGAGATTTGCCCTTTAAGCATGGACACATTTAATACAGGCCAACCGCACCGCCATTTCGCCTGGGAGAGTTATTCATTCCTGTCGGTTGAGCTAGTTAGAAGCCCAGTCTTGCCACTGGAAGTGTCCTGTGAGTTCATTCCCAGGCTACCACGTGGATATGGAGAATACCAGGCTGCTGACTATGGTTCTGAGTTCCTTGACAGCACAGAGAAGCTTCAAGTCATGGACTGGGGGGCTGGGCGGAGCTCCTGCTTAACATGTGCAAGGCCCTGGGTTTCCTTCCAGTGTGGGGGGAGACACTGATGGGGAAGAAATCCTTTAAGGAGGGATGATGTTAATAGAAAGGAAAAGGGTCCCAGGATCAACCAAGCAGGGACAGAAAAGGTGGGAGAAAATGGAGACTAGAGAGAGAGGGGGCTTTGAGAAAGAGGGACACTTTGCTCTGCCGCCTGCTCCTGAGGAGAGAGGCTTCCATGTCGCAGTCATACAATCATCTGTAAGGTGACAACAGCATTCAGAGATGGGCACAGAAGCACAGAGGTGAGGAGAAAATGGTAACAGACTGTAGCCATGAGAGCAACAGCTCGCAGTGGCTCACGCCTGTAATCCCAGCACTCGGCAGGCAGAAGCAGGTAGATCGCTGTGAGTTCAAGGCCAGCCTGGTCTACAAAGTGAGTCCAGGCTAGCCAGGGCTACACAGAGAAACCCTGTCTCAAAAAAAAAAAAAACAAAAAACAAAAAACAAAAAAAAAAAAAAAAAAAGGGGGAAACAGCTCTTCACATCATGGCAGCAATGGAGACGGGCGTGTGTCGTAGAAAGGAGACTTTGAGATAAAGTGTTTTCCTTTCTCTTTTTCTCGGTGTTCAGACTGAACCCAGGTCTTGCACCTGCTGGAGAAGAGCGCTACCCTAGACTGTACCCCCAGTCCTAAGAGGTGTCTTTAACTGGTCTGCATTTGCGTGTTTATTGTGTGTGCACAGGCACGCGCGTGTGCATGCGAGTGTCTTAGCACACATACAGAGGCCATCCTGTGGGGTAAGCTCTCCCCGTGTTATCTGGCTGGGCAGCGAATACTGACAGCTGTGCCCTGAGAGCACAGACCAGTTTTGAAGTTCTGAGTTCTGAGTAACTTCTCAGAACGGACACTGCAAGGAGAGCCTGAGAGTCCTTGCTGGGTGGATTCTGTTGTCTTTAATTTCCTGGAGTCCCACAGAACCAAAGCGGAAACAATGAGCTTTCTCCACCCTTCCAGTAGGGGGCACACAGTTCAGAATGTTTTCCCGTCATGCATCTGTGATGGCTGGCTTGGCTGGAGCCATGGTGTGGAGAGAGCCCCCTGTACCAACCCCTTCTCTCTCAGGTGCAGCCCCAGGAGGCTCTGGCATTAGAACAGTCGCAACTTTGAACGCAGTTGACGGAAGGCTTTCTAGAAGCTTCCTCGCCCCCTCCGCTTACACAATGGAAACAATAATGCTGCCATGTTCCTCTGAATAATTCCTGTGTACACGTTTGTTTTATTTGCTGGAGTCGGGTTGGGCCCTAGGGTCTCAGGTTCGCCAGGCAAGCCCCGGATCAGAGCTCCACCTGCAATTCTGTTGCGCTCTTGTCCACCCTTAAACGGTCAGGGTTGCTGCGTTCGATCGCGGACAAGGCTGCCATTTACTGTCATATCCTTCTTCACAGTTGCCGTATGAACAGACACTTGCCACGGGAGAGTTCCTCATTTTCCACACCCCTGTCAACGCTGCTGTGATGGAATTTTATCAATTAAAAGCCTTCGGTTTTAATGTGCGTTTTCTAATTTTTGGCGATGATAACACTTACTTCTTGGTGATTTGGGGAATCAAATCCAGGGCTTTTTTGTTGTTGTTGTTGTGGGGCTTTGGACAGGGTGTCTCTGTTATTTTCCCCTGGCCGTTCTGGAACTGGCTATGTAGATTAGGCTGGCTTTAAACTCACAGAAATCCTTCCACCTCTGCTTCCTGAGAGCTTGGGTTAAAGCACCACACCCGGCTGAGGGTCTTTTTACACACCAGGGAAAGTGCGCTCTCCCGAAGAGCCACATCCCCAGCCCCGTGAAACACCTTAGTAGAATTTTATTGGCCCTCTTTTTTTCTTAAATCGTTAGTTAAAACTTTTTGTTAGATTTGTTTTATTCTCTGAGCATTTTTTGCCCGCGTGTTTGTCTAGGTACCGCATGCAATTCTGGTGCCCACAGAAGGCAGAGGGCATTGGACCCCTGGAACTGGACTTATGGAGCTGAGCACCCTGTGGTTCTGGGAGCTGAGCTGGGGTCCTCTGCAAGAATAACACATGCTCTTAACTGCTGAGCCACCTCTCCAGGTCCTCTTGAGGCTTTTAAGTAAGAATTTTGTATTAATTCTTAGAAAATTTCCTATATCGTATTTTGGTTGTATTCAACCCCCAATGCCTCTCAACTCCTGCAGACCTTCCCCACCTCCCATCCCCCACCTCTCATCCCCCACCCAGGTTTTTCATGTTTATTTACATGTATGTGGGCATACCTGTGACAGCTTTGATTCTCCTGACTTGACGTAGGTGCTGAAAACTGAGCTCAGGTCTCCTGCATAGCAGCAAGAGCTCTCAAGCACCAGTCAGCCCTCTAGACCCATCTTGAGTTGCTTTCGGTTTTCCCAATGCTTTACCAAGTTTTGGTGTGGTAATGTTTTCTCTTTGTTTTACGGTATCTTTGTGGGAAGAGAAATTTCCAACTTTATTTTATTTAACATTTATTTATTATTTATACAGTATTATGCCTGCACACCCTCTTCTGATCCTATTATAGATGGTTGTGAGCCACCGTGTGGTTGCTGGGAATTGAACTCAGGACCTTTGGGAGAACAGCCAGTGCTCGTAACCTGTGTCCGTGCATGTGTGTGTGGGCACTAGCACATGTGGGTCAGGACAACTTCATGGAGTCAGCACTCTCCTTCCACCTGAGTTCCCAGGATTGAACTCATTTCACCAGGCTTAGACTGTGAGTGTCTTTAGCCTGTCACACAGCCCTCTGCCTAGAGGCGCTGCACAGCTTTGTTTTAGTGAAAGGGCTGGACTCTGACCCCGACACTCTCCTTCCTGTGGAACCGAACCTTGCCCCTACAAAGTCTCACTGGCCAAGCTCTGATTTCTGGGGCCTTACTGGAGAATGCTTGCAGAGTCTCCTAAATTTTCTCCCTTTTAAGTCTCCCTCTCTCCTTCTCTGAATGGCTATTGAGCTTTCTTAGCCAGCCTAGAGAACAGTTGTTGGACAGGTTTAGAAAGCAACAGCTGCAATAGGAAGCCTTCCAAAGCCTTCAGCTTTCTGGAGCGGATCCCATGCTGCAAGGTGAGCCATTCAGCGCACACGGACTTTGTTCCATGAGCAAGACTGACAAAAACACTGTTCTTAAAAAACTCATTACAAGCTGGGCATGGTGGTGCACGCCTGTAGTCCCAGCACTCAGGGAGACAGAGGCAGGCAGATCTCTGTGAATTCAAGGCCAGCCTGGTCTACAGAGTGAGTCCAGGACAGCCAAGGCTACACAGAGAAACCCTGTCTAGAAAAAAAAAAAAAAAAAAAAAAAAAAAAAACAAACAAAACCTCATTATGTTTATTTATTTAATGTGTGTGTGTGTGTGTGTGTGTGCAAGCATGAGCGCACGCCCGCCCGCCCGTAAGCCATGGCACACACATATTTAAGTCTGTTCTCTCCTTCCCAGTAGGTGCTGTGGAGAGAACTCGGGTTTTTGCTGGGTAGTAGTGGTTCACACCCTTAATCCCAGCACTTTCGAAGCAGAAGCAGGTTGATCTCTGGGTTCTAGGTCAGCCTGGTCTACAGAGTGAGTTTTAAGGCAACCAGGGATACACAGAGAAACCCTGTGTATCTCAAAAACAAACAAGCAAACAAAAAGAACTCAGGTTTTCAGGCTTAGTGGCTATCACCTTTACCTGCTGAGCCACCTCAATGGCCACTTTTTCTTTTTTTTTCATTGCTTTATGTCACAGGGTTTCATGTAGTCCAGGCTAGCCTCAAACTCACTGCCTGCCAAGACTGCCCTTGAGCCTCTGCCCTCACCTTCCAAGTGCTGGGATTTGGGCAAGTGGCATCACACCAGTTACGATGAAAATATTAGGATTCCCTTCAGGCTCTGTGTGCTAGGGGAACGGGTGAGTTTCGAGTTTAGAACTGGATTCCATCCCAAGATCTCTCCTGTAGATGCAAATATTTCACCTCCCAAATCCCAACCCAAAACTGTTTGGGTTTGTTTTGGTCCTACTCATTTTGCAGGAGGGGAATTCAGCTTGGAGTGGCATCTCATCACTTATGCTAGTGGCTTAGTTCTGAAACTGTTTTATGAGTTCTCATGTCCCAGGGCAAGCTGAGAGCAAGGGTCCTGTGCAGGTGACCTCTTGTGAGGGCCTCCTCGGACGATGGCTGTCCCGTACACCTCGGTTCTTCCTCTGGTCAGATGTTCCCTACTGTCCTTTTCTTTTTAAAGGTTTTAGTTCTTTGTTTATTTATTTATTTGGCTTTTTGAGACAGCGTTTCTCTGTGTAGCACTGGCTGTCCTGGAGCTCATTCTGTACACCAAGCCGGCCTTTGCCTCCTGCCTTTGCCTTCTGTGTGCTGGAATTAAAGGCGTGTGCTACCTCCACCTGGCCAAGACTTCATTAATTCATTCATTCATGCATACATTCATTCATTCATTGTGTGTATCTGTTTGTCTGTCTCTCTGTATGTGTGTGGTACCTGAGGAGACCAGGAGATGGCATCGGATTCTCTGGAGCCGGAGGTACCGGCGGTTGTGAGCCCTTGGTGTGGGTACCAGGAACAGAACTCAGATCCTCTGCAAGAGCAGTCAGTGCTCTTAATTACTGAGCCATCTCCCCAGCCCCGACCCCACTGTCCTTTGCAATCTTCAGAGAGCACAGAACTTGAGTCCCAGCGCCGTTCCTTTCTTTTCCAGGAGTGGGAGAATTCTCTTGCTCCCCAACTGCAGGTAGAGCTGGAGCCAACCACCTGGAAGAAGCTGGCATCTTCGCTGCAGCTTACCTTCTCTCCATCCGGCCTGCTTCTCAACCAGTCCTTTCGGTTGTTCAAGTCCAGGCGCAGACCAGGCTGACCCAAATACCTCTGAAGTTAGCCATCATGTGGAGGGTCCCAGTGCAGAGAGACACAGGCCCGAGGAAGATGTGATGAAGAGGAGGGTGACACGTATGTGTGGTCTTGGGGACACGCGATGGAAGGGCAGCAGTGGGTTAAGTCAACACCAGACAATGATGCAGTCACAGATTCCAAATTGAGTCAGGCCGCTTTAAGAAAGGAGTAGCTGCTGTAATCTGAAGCCTGCTGGACTCGGGTTGGGAGGCAGCTACTCACTTCACTGCTTGCTGGAGCCCCTCAGAGAGCAGGCTGAGAGGGACCTAGACTGTGAGAGAAGCTGCAGCCGACCACAGGTAAGGAAGTTCCTGGAGTGGCCTGGGGAAGACATATGGGAGAGGCCCCTTGGCTAGAGGGGCAGGAGCACCCCAGAGAGCAGAAAAGAGGGGTGCAAGGAGGTAGAGGTAGGGCTATTGTAGTCCCTGCAATTTAGGAACCAAGGTGAACAGATGAGAGGGAAGAGGGAATTGGGGGCTGGAGGGCCGGGACTCTATACTCCACTGCCACAAAAAGAGAGGCTGGAGGGGGTTTCTGAATAGGGAAACTATGTGCTGATGGGCAGTGGGAAGCCGGGAGCTAAGCTAGACTGAGCAGTACCCCAAAGGGGCTATCGTCCTGCAGGCAGGGCTCTCCCTGGAGTTGCTTCCACCAGCAGTGAGCAAGGAAGGTGGTCTTCTGCAGTCCACTCACTCAGCTTGCTGCTTTTCAGAATCAACGGGGGCTGATGTCCCCACAGAGAGGGCAGCTGGCTGCCCGAATCCTGCTGGGATGAGAAGCCTGCCAGGTCCTCTGTCCGGCTCCTACCCATTCTCTTTTACCAAGTGAACTGGGAGACAAATGAAGCCGTGGCCTCTGGCAAACAATAGCACCCTAACCTAGCTGCTGTGTGGGTCTGGCTGCCCTCTGCAGCCTCTTTACCTCCCCGGGCAAGCCGCAGCAGGGAGTGGTCTGAGTCAAAGAAAAGAGAGGCTTTCCAAGTGTCAGCAGCTGTCTGGACCTTAACTGCCCATCAGTTCAACCCCCAGGCAGAGGGGGATGGGTGGAGTCCAGGGAGCTCTGGTCCCAGGGCTGGTCTTTTTGGGGTTTTGGGAGGTGTAACTATGGGATGTCTCAGGCCGATTCCAGTTCCAAGATTTCAGAAAGAAAAAGAAAAGTGCCCTGGGGGGGTGAGTGCTGTAGTGGTGAGCCGGTCAGCCTAGGCCCCTGGAGGTGGCCCGTGAGCCAGCGGGCAGGGCTGTGTCCTCCCCTGCACTGTGCACATGTCCACTGCCATGTGGCTTGAAGTCTGCTGGCTTCTGAGAGGAGGAGGAAGCAGTGGAGGAGGAGCAACGTGTTTGTCTCCCGGCTGGGTTTAATCTGAAACACATGTACTGGCTCCCATTTGTCTTCCCAGCTTGGATGTGAGGCCACAACATCCTAGTTTCTGTGCCTTTTGATTCGGGAAGGCTGACCTTGGCTCAGAGAGGAGAATCTTGACCCCTTCCCATGCCTTGCTCTACCTGGAGCCCAGGAATTTGGTTTGGACACTGCCCTTTGGACAGGATGGCATAATTGTTCCTATGCCCCTTGCTAGCCAATGGCCGCCTACCCAAACCACAATCACTGCACCCAGGGCATTGAATGTGTCGTGGGAGGCCACAACTGCAGACCCTCACTCTGCCCTTAAGGGTCTCTGTTTCCTTTATTCTTGTCGCTTCAGGTGGAGAATTCAGACATTCCACTAACAGCTGTCCCTGCTTATAGCTGTTGGGCCAGCATTGGACCCGTGCCTCCCCATGCCCACCCGGTTCCCTGCCTCAGCCTCAGCCCTCAGCCTACCCGTGTGGTAACAATGATCTTAGATCCTGGAGGCACTCCAGGAGGTACCATCTGCAAATGCATCTCATTCACTTCCTGGAATAGGATGCCAAGGGTGACCGTGTCCTCCCTTCTCTCAGGTGCTCCCACCAGGGGACCAGAGGCACCCTTCTGTGCACCTCTCTGATGAACGGCCTCTTGAGGCTCAGCACAGAGCAGCTGCTGCCTTTGCTGGGTGGGGCCTATATATACATCACATTCTCTGTTGTTCCAAAGGGTTTTCTCCCTGAGCGGCTGGGCGGCATTGTCACTGGAGGAGAACATGGAGTCCCTAGAATTCCCGCGGGAGCTCTGCTATAGACAAAGGCATAGAAGAGCCAGGCTGGCTCCTGCCTCTGCTGGTGCTGGAAGCAGAGTAAACTCAGAGAGTCTTTCTCTTGTTGCCCTTCATGGAATGCAGCTGTTTACTAGATTATCTGACTTAATGTTAAGGACTTCAGCCAATGATTGCAGACTGAGCTCCTAACTTTTCAGATTCAAATTTGTTCTTGAAAGTCAGAAAAGTTAGTGATGTCTGTTTGGTTGGGGAGGGTACATGTAAGTGGAAAGAAAATGATGGAGCAGACGGGGACAGTCAGGGTGTGTGTGTGTGTGTGTGTGTGTGTGTGTGTGTGTGTGTAGCTTTTCTGACTCTAAGACAAGCTTTTCTGCGGACCTCACATCCCCCTATCCCACACTGACTCCAGGGGAGCACAGGGGTGGTGCCTGAGTATCCACAGCCCAGATTTCAATTTTGTTTTGTGGTCCAAGTGCCAGACCAGAATCTGGGCGGAAAGGCCATTGCTCAGGGAGGTGGTGGGATGTGGGAGGCCCCATTGAGAATTGAGGTTGTTTAACATGAAGGAAAAAGGCTCTGGCGCTGAGCAGTTTTCATGCTAGGAGGGAGAAGACAGGTCTTTCTGAAGAGAGGTCAGCTGAAGGCACACTGGGAGCTTCCTGACCCTTGGTGTTGCTAAGATAGCATCTAGGCAGATGTGGCTGTGCAACCTGTCACCTCAGCACTTGGGAGGCAGAGGCAGGAGGATCACACATTCAAGGCCAGCCTAAATGTAGCAAGACTGTCTTAAATTAAAAGAGAGAGAGAGAGAGAGAGAGAGAGATTCTAAAATTTAATTCTCTAGCAGTGGGGTTAAAATTTAAATTGTATAATAAGTGCTATTATACAAGGAGAGATTTATTCTTTACATAGCTATGAAGACCCAGGGTCAAGGTTCTATTCCAGGCAACAAAGCCCTAGCCCTCTTAACTATGTAAAGAATTGCTCTTGAAATGAAAGAAGGGAGTCAAGCCAGGCATGGTGGCACACATCTGGCACCCCAGTGCTCATGAAGCAGATGAAGGAGGGTAGCTGCAAGCTCAAGCTGCAGGCTGGGCATCCAATCTTAAAAACTAGGTGGGGTGGGGACAAAGTGACAAGGCCAAACGTCCTTATCACAGGCTCTTGGCCAGAGAACTTTTGGTGGATAGCAGGGCTAAACCAACTGTTCTGAAAGTCTATGAAGCCCTGGGTTCTGCTCCCATCCTGAAACAGGGTTCCAAATCCTACCAAAAGCCTCCATGGAAAAGCTTTGGTATGTGCTTGTGCCAGAACATGTTCTTGAGGGCAGAAGAGCCTGCTGCAGGGCCTCCACTGCTCTGGAGCTTGGGCTGGACCCACCTTGGAGGCACAGCACACCGTGAAGCAGCAGGTGCAGGCGGGATGGCAAGCCTCAAGCCAAGACTTCGCTTTGGGGCTCAGGCTGGAGGGTGCTCACCTGTCCGGCTCCCCTCTCCGTGCAGGGTGCAGTGGCAGGGCAGCGTGTGGGTGAGGGGAGTGCCTTGCTCTCTTGTTTCTCTTGTAGCCCCGTGATGCAGGCCCTGGTGCTTCTGCTCTGGACTGGAGCCCTGCTCGGGCATGGCAGCAGCCAGAATGTCCCCAGCAGCTCTGAGGTCAGTAGAGTGGGTAGGTGGGGGCAGCAGCTATTCCATCGTCTCCTTGGCAGGCAGCAGAGGAGACAACACAGGGAGGCAGGCCTGGGTCCAGGGCAGGTTCTGGCCCTCACTCTTCTAGGCCTTAATTTTTCTAGTAGCAGGAGTGTCTTGCCCCCTCACCCCTTCTGGGGTTATGGAGAAGCCTCTACTATATGGAGAAAGTAGGGGTAGGATCCTGTCACACAGGGACAAGGCAGCTGGGAATATTAGCTACAGACCTGGGCTTTGCGGGTTCTGAGCTTGGGTTAGGGCTTAGTGACCTTGACAATACTGTCTCACCACTGTGGCCATTCACTTATTCCTCATCTACTAGGTGCCTCCCTCCCTCTTGGGAGTGAAACGCAGGACCTCACACATGCTAAACAGGTGCTGTATTACTGAGCCTTACTGAACATGAACTCTGAGGTTGGCAGGTATGGATAGAAATATAAGAATCCAGCACTTGGGAGGCAAAGGCAGGTGGATTTTTGTGAGTTTGAGGCCAGCATGGTCTACAGAGTGAGTTCTAAGACAGCCAGAGCCACATTGTATAAGGAATTTTAATCCAGCATCATGGCTGCTCTGGCTGGAATACAGACATGTCTTTAATCCCAGAAGACAGAGGCAAGCAGATCTCTGAGTCCAAGGTCAGCCTTGTATAGAGCAAGCTTCAGGTAAAGAAAAGCTTAGGCCCAGGCATGGTGGCACACGCCTTTAACCCCAGCACTCAGGAAACAGAGGCGTGCAGATCTCTGAGTTCCAGTCAGTTCTGTTGAAAGTGAGTTGAGAGGCAGTGCAGTGGAGCTGTTTGTGGCACTTCAGTTTGTGGAATTCAGAGGCAGTTTTTACCTGGGAATTTCACAGAGAGGTGACTTAAAAGAGAGCAGCGCAGAGGAAGAGGGGGAGGAGGCCATTTTACTGGACAGTTGTACAGAGACCAGTTTCAGAGAGAGAACAAGCTAGACACAGGTGAAGACAGAATGAGACAGGGAATAAGAAGGAGCCAGAAGGGCTGGAGAGATGGCTCAGTGGTTAAGAGCACTGTCTGTTCTTCTAGAGGTCCTGAGTTCAATTCCCAGCAACCACAGTGGCTCACAACTGCTTATAATGGGATCTGATGCCCTCTTCTGGCATGAAGGCATACATGCAAATAGGGTGCTCACATGTATAAATAAATAAATCTTAAAAAAAAAAAAAAAAGGAACCAGAAGATTAGATTGTTGGAGTTAGTTTGAGACTAAGCAGAGCAATTCAGTGAAAGACTGAGAGACTCCAGACTGAATCAGTCATCTGGGAGAGGAGTTTGAGTCAGGAAGCTGAGTTGAACCAGCCAACAAGAGTTTAGGAAGAACAGGAAAGGGTGAGCTTATTCAGCAGTAAGTCATTCTAGGCCTAGATAAGATTGTATAGAGGCTAGAAGCGTCTAGGACTACGCCTAGATTAGTAGACAGAGACTACTAATCCAGCTACTAATTAGGCTACTATTAATCTGGCTTCGGAGATTACATCAGGCAAATAATACAATTACAATATAATGAGACCCTGTCTCAACAAAGCAAAACAAAACAAAAACCAAAAAGCAACAGGAACTGGAGATGTGGCTGGGTGACAAAGCACTTCCTGACATATCGAAGACCTCAGCTTTGCTCCACAGCTCTGGAAACAAAAACAGAAAGAAGCAGAAAGCCCTTCCCAGCCAGCAGCAGCTAGCTAATAAGGAAGTGGTTGACACTGAAAACATGTCAGAAAACTACAAACTTCTTCAGGTACAGTCAGAGGAGATGGCTTGTCAGGGAAGACAGGGAGGGAGTTGCAGCAGAACCCAGGTAGACTAGGAACAGTCAGGGGCTGAGAAGAGGAGGGTGGTGTGGTCTGAGGACACTTTTTTTGGTGGTGAGGAGGTCCCCTCCAGAGAGGCAGAGAGACACAGAGAGACAGTGTGTTTCTATGCCGGAAGTCAACCCAGAGTCATCCTCAGGTGCTGTCCACCTTGGACCCCTCACTGGTCTGGGACACGCTAGTCCAGGCTGACCAGCCAGTGAGCCTCAGGACCTGTCCATTTCTGCCTCCCCAGTGCTGGGATCACAAGCATGTACCACTGTGCCCAGCTCTTTTTCCATGGCTTCTGAGGATTGAATCCAGGCCCTCATGCTTGCAACTGAGCTCTCTCCCCAGCCCTCCCAGCCCTCCCAACCCTCCCATTCCATTTTAAAGTAGGCCAGGCTTCCCGCTCTTAGGTCACAGTTCAAGCCTGGCAAGCTTTTTTGTGTTGCTCCCCTGACCCAGCACAGAGGTTCTGCACAGTCAGCACACACTCATTCCGACCTCGCGCTACTGGCCCCAGGGACCAGCGGACAACCCCAACCAGGAGGTGGGGCCATTCACTGTGTCTCCCCCTACTGGTCCTTGTGTTCTAACCCAGGGCTCCCCAGCTCCCACAGGGGAGCCAGTGGAGGAGGATGACCCCTTCTTCAAGGTGCCTGTGAACAAGCTGGCAGCAGCCGTTTCCAACTTCGGCTATGACCTCTACCGCCTGAGATCTAGCGCCAGCCCAACGGCCAATGTCCTGCTGTCTCCACTCAGCGTGGCCACTGCCCTCTCTGCCCTTTCCCTGGGTGAGTGTCAACCGAAGAAGGTGCAGGAGGAGCTGAATTTCCCCTACCCTGAGTCTCCATGATTCCGCTGCCGGGGAGCAGGAAGGGGAGGGGCTACGCGCACAGTCCCTACTGGCTTCATGATAAGTGACAGCCAATCCTTGGTTCCTGAAGGGGGCTCCTATTGTGTGTTGATCATTCGCCAGGTTCTAGGGGTACAGCTGCCAGGAGCAGGCCAGGGCTCCTCCTCAGAGAGGTGTAGGTAACGATGGGGAACTTCCGGGCCCACATCCCACCCTTCTCTTCGTCCATCTAGAAAGTCGGCAATCCTGACCTGCTCAGGCCCTCAGAAGACGAAATGCGTGGCCCCAGGCAGTTACGAAGCCTGCTGTCCTTTTCTCCCTTGCAGGAGCCGAACAGCGAACAGAATCCGTCATTCACCGGGCCCTCTACTACGACCTGATCAGTAACCCTGACCTCCACAGTACCTACAAGGAACTCCTTGCCTCTGTTACTGCTCCTGGGAAGAACCTCAGGAGTGCTTCCAGAATTGTGTTTGAGAGGAGTTAGTACACCCTACCCAATCCTCACAGTCTCTGTGGTCCAGGCTGGCCCCCGACTCATAATGCTGCCTCTGCTCCCCAAGTGCAGGCATGCGCCATTATGCCTGGCACTCAGATGCTTTTCTGGCTTGGGTTGCCTGTGTGCTCCCTACTGGGGGCTCTGTCTAAATAGACTGTGTGTGCTCAGGCCAGGCCTGGCACTGGCGGGCAGGAAAGGGCCTGTGAGACCACAGAGGATCAGAGAGAAGAAACGGGATGTGGAGACAGCAGGAGGGTCTGGGGAGGGCAGGAACGTGAAGGGGAGCACGGGTGGAAGCCACTGTTTCCTGTCCAGTGTTTGGGGAAGCCAGCAGATGCCCCAGGAAGTCAGGGGAAGGTGCTGGCAGGAGGCTGGGGTCTGGCACACTTTCAAAGCAAGGGTGCTGGTTCAGCTCGCATTCATGGGTCTTTGATCTGCTTCCTTTCCAGAACTTCGAGTAAAATCCAGCTTTGTTGCTCCTCTGGAGAAGTCCTACGGGACCAGGCCCAGGATCCTCACTGGCAACCCTCGAATAGATCTTCAGGAGATTAACAACTGGGTGCAGGCCCAGATGAAAGGGAAAATTGCTCGGTCCACAAGGGAAATGCCCAGCGCCATCAGTATCCTCCTGCTCGGTGTGGCTTACTTCAGGGGTGAGGGTCTCCCCACTTGTCTTCGGCTGAGGGAGGATCGTAGGTATGTGTGGTGATGGAGGTGAACATGAGAGCAGGTGCAAGGCCAGAGGAGGAGCTGAAAACCACATGTGCTTCCTGCGTATCTGCAATGAAATGGCCGAGTGGGGCTGGACACAGCTCCGGCTTTTGAATCAGACCAGGTTTAATCCTGGCTCTGCCTTGTGAGTGGCAGAGCCCTGGGCAAGTTTCTTCTGAGCCTGTCTCATCTTTGCTATGAGGATTACACATCTTCACAGACACAGCAGCCCTGTGTTCTGGGAACCAGAGCCATGCTCAGGGACTGCTGTCAGTTACCTATCAACATTCTCCTAGGCAGTGGTAGCATGTCAGGGGACCCTCCCACAGGCCTCACAGGTCTATCTTGTTCATAAAAGGGCTTTGCGGCAGGAATGATTTGACCAGTTTTTCTCTGAAAATGCTTTGCGACCATCTTACAGAGTAGCAGCAAGAGTGGATGCTTAACCTATAGGAAAGGCCTGGAGCTTCCTACTCCCAGCACACCAGGCATGGGGGAGCAGGCACAAACCAGCATATTAAAGGCCACCTTAAATGGAAGGAGCCTGGTGATCCAATCAAAGTGAGAACACCCACTTATCTCCATCCGAGTTTCCTTGGAGAAGATAGTCCATAGCCCCACGGTCCATAGATCCTGTGGTCTACCCCACACATGCTGGGACCCAGAAGCTCCTGTGTCCATGTTGCTGACAGCTCAGGTTCCTTTGGCCAGTGAAAACACAGCATGGTCCTGTGTCCTTTCTGGTGACAGCAGCTCAGGACTTTCCATCTGTTCCCTTCCAGGACAGTGGGTAACAAAGTTTGACTCGAGGAAAACGGCCCTCCAGAATTTTCACTTGGATGAGGACAGGACTGTTACAGTCCCCATGATGTCAGACCCTAAGGCCATCCTACGATATGGCTTGGACTCGGATCTCAACTGCAAGGTCTTGTAGGGATGGGCGTGGGGAGGTCAGAGGGGCAGAGGCCACTGGGATCTGCAGGCCATCTGAATCTTGCTGTGTGTCTTTGGGCAAGTTAGTATGTTTCTGGGCCTTTCCTTTTCTTGAAGCAGAGTGAGAAGTAGATATCAGAACTTATGCTCCTAGGGTTTGTTGTAAGGACCAAGGTCATGACAATAGGTTTTCAAGGTCTGGCACTAAGAGTTGAGGATGGTGACACACACCTGGGACCCCAACAGTCAGGAGGCCGAGGTAGGGTGATCAGGAGCCGAGTCTGGGTTGTATTTTAAGACCATCTCAAAACACAAGAATGGGCTAGAATTATGGCTCAGTGGTTAAGAGTACTGGCTGCTCTTTCAGAGGACCCAGGTTCCATTCCCAGCACCCACAGCTCACAACCATCTGTAATTCCAGTTCCAGGGGATCCAATAACCTCTTCTGGTCTCTGCAGACACCAGGCATGTCTGTGTACACAGACAGACACGCAGGCCGCCACTCTTACACATAAAACAGACAGACCAGGCACTCAGCAGGGGTCACGTCAGCGGTAGAGCGAGCGCTGGCCTGGTGCAAACAAGACCCTGGGCTTAATCCTCAGTGCTGCCAAAGCCAGAGCAAGAAAGAAGAAGGCTCAGCACTCAGATGTTTGTTTATTCGCTCATTTCTTCCCTTCTTTCCTTCTGAGACAGCTTCGTGTGGCCCAGGTGGGCCTCAGACTTAACTAGCTAAGGACGCTCTTGAGCGCCTATCTTCCTGACTCTACCTCCCAAATGCTGGTGCTGCAGGCATGTGTCCCCACCCCTGGTTAATGGAGTCCTGAATCAAACCCATAGCTTCATTCACGTTAGGCAGGTGCTCTACCAACTGAGAGACAGCACCAGCCAAGCCTTTTCTTGACAGCTTTTCTCTTTAGAATTAAGAGCTAAATTTTGACAACTTGTCACAAATGCCACACGCTGACATTCTAGGGCTCTCAGTGTACCTGATTTCTTTCAGTTCTAAATCAGTACTTATTAACCCTTTCTAGGCTATGGCTTCTTTGGAAATCTGATCAAGCGCCTGAAAGATTGGAATGTGGTGGGGCACACCTTTAATCCTGGTACTTGAGAGGCAGAAGCAGATGCATCTCTATGAGTCTGAGGCCAGCCTGGTCTACGCAGAAAGTTCCAGGGCAAGCAAGCAAACAAACAAACAAACAAACAAACCCAAAACCTGAACCACTCTGGAGAAAGGACATTTCTATGTATGACTGTATGGAGGCTCTGGGATGCCCTGACATTGTGTTCCATGGACTTTAGGAACCTCTGTTCAAAGTTTCCATTTTACTTTTCATTTCTGGCTCAATGCTCTGCCCAAAGCAATTGGTCAGTAAATGCTGGCAGGCAGGCAGGCTCTGGGAGGATATTCCATTCCAGCTGCTGAGAACAGGTCCTGGTTAGTGTGCTCAACTTGTCACAGCTGGAGTCATTTAGAAGTGTGAACTTCAGTTGACAAAATGCTGCCACCAGCCTGGCCTCTGGGCCAAACTGTGGGAGTTTTCTTGATTAGTGATGAATGTGGGAGAGCCCAGCCCACGCTGGGTGGGGCCACGCCTAGGCAAGTGGTTCTGGATGGTACAGAAAAGCAGGGTCACAAGCCCTAGGGGAGCAAGTCAGAAAGCAGCTCCTCTATGGCTCCTGCCCTGAGGTCCCTTAGTGACAAGAGTGTGACCTGAGGCCTGAAAGACGAAAGCAAACCCTTTCCTTGCCAACTTGCTTTTGGTCATGTTTTAGCACAGCCATAGAAACCATAAGACAAACTATAAACAAAAAATTTGTCCATCAAACTTCCCTGGGTATTAGGCTGAGAAGAAAACTGCCTACTCATGGAAGGACAAGTACTGCACAGGCTGAGGCCAGGGGAGCACAAGGCTGGGGCCCGCCCCAGGGAGGGGAAGGCAGCCATTGGTGTGTGGGGTTTTGGCTCAGGACTAACTCGCATGCTTCTCTGCCGCCTTAGATTGCCCAACTGGCCTTGACAGGAAGCGTGAGCGTCATCTTCTTCCTGCCCCTGACGGTGACCCAGAACTTGACCATGATCGAGGAGAGCCTCACCTCTGAGTTCATTCATGACATTGACCGAGAACTGAAGACTATCCAAGCTGTCCTGACTGTCCCCAAGCTGAAGCTGAGCTACGAAGGCGAAGTCACCAAGTCTCTGCAGGGCATGAGTACGTTTGCACGACCGCTCTGCTCTTGGGGCCGAGTCTTTGAGCCTTCCACCTTGCTGACAGAACTGAGTCCCATGGCTTTGTAGGGTGGCTTGGGGGACTTGCTTCACTATCATGGGAGAACACATAGAACTGCCTTCCCATCAGAGTCAGTCCTTAGTCCCATAAGCTCATATCCTATAAGAGCACAGAACACTGCTTCCCAGGCCAGGTCTGAGTTCAGCCTTGCTGGCGCTATGCTCTCGGGTAGCTCAGGGAGGCCACCGAGCCTGTAGTGGGCTGGAGCGCCTCATACCACTCCTAGCTTCTCTCTCTCTCTCATCAGTTTACACAAACCAGCGGGGTGTGAGTGGTGTTAATGGAATCTCTCTCATTCTCTACAGAGCTACAGTTCTTGTTTGAGTCGCCTGACTTCAGCAAGATCACAGGCAAACCTGTGAAGCTCACCCACGTGGAACACAGGGCTGCTTTGGAGTGGAATGAGGAGGGGGCAGGAACCAGCCCCAACCCAGGCCTCCAGCCTGTCCGGCTCACCTTCCCGCTAGACTATCACCTTAACCGACCTTTCATCTTTGTCCTGAGGGACACGGACACAGGGGCCCTTCTCTTCATAGGCAAAATCCTGGACCCCAGAGGCACTTAATGCTTCAGTGCTCTACAAGAAAACACTAGAGGGATGGCTGGTCACACATTCCAGGAAGGCTGCCCTACAGCTTCAATGTATTCTTTGCAATAAAAGAGCTTTTCCTTAACTTTTGCTTCTTTCTTCCTTCTCCCATTCACTATGTTTATACTACAGAGAGAAATTGGTCCTTATGAATTTGCATACTTGTAACTGGCTCTGCTTATGCTCTGCAAAAGTCACCATTCCTGCTCTCAGAGTGCTGGGAAATTAGGACTAATGGACTGTCCCAGGAGGGCACCCCCACACAGTTACTGAAGTTTGCTGTCCTGTTCCTCAGCTTTCTCCTACTACAGCACATACGTGGGGAAATCAGCTGCTGTTTTTGGAAGCCCCAGCTATGACTGCCCCCTTGCTTTTGAGCATGCGGTGGTAGCACAGCCTTGTGACTTGTCTTATGACCTAGAAGCAAAGAGAAACGAGGAGCCCAGAGACTCCCCTTGCTTGGCATGCCTCTCCACCCATGACCACCTCCCACTAGGCCTAATCCCTTGACAGTTCTCTCTCCCAGCAGCGCCACACTGGGACCAAGCTTTTGCCTTGGGAGACACCCACAATCCAAACCATAGCATATGTTCCTAAACAGCCAGACTTGGTTTCCTGATTTACTTATGTGTGTTTACGAAGGTCTGTTTGTGCATGGGGTCATGTAGTGGCCAGAGGGCAATCTTTGGTGTCAATTTTCATGAGCTGTCTGCCTTTAAAAGTTAAAGAAATCTGTCTTCTTGAGGGGCTGGAGAGATGGCTCAGTGATGAAGAACCTCTTGCAGAGGTTCCTAGCACCCATGTGGTGGCCCACAAGCCCCTATAACTCCAGTTCTGGGGACTCTGACACCCTCTTCCGCCTCTAAGGCATTGCACATGTGGTGTGCAGAAAGATACAGGCAAAGCACTCCTACACATAAAAAACTGAAGTGATCTGCATGCATGTGCATGCCTACAAATGTGTGTACCCATCAGTCACGCGGGGTCAGAGATCAGGCTCAGTCCTGTGAACTTGGTTCTCTCCCTCCAGCCCCCTCCTCCCCTTTTTTTTCTGTTTTTGGAGACAGGGATTCTGTGAAGCCAACTAGACTCACTCTGTAGTACAGGCTGACCTCAAACTCACAGGGATCCACCTGCCTCTGTCTCTCTGAGTGCCGGGATTACAGGTGTGCACCATTGTGCCTGGCTTCTATCCTTCCACCCTTGTGTGGTATCTGGATTGAAGCTGGGTTGCCAGGCTTGTGTGGCAAGTGTCTTTTCCCACTGAGCCACCTTGTTACCTTTTCCTACCATTTTTTTTTTCCAGTCTCTCACGGGCCTGGAACACAGTAAGTAGACTAAGGTAGCTTGGCCAGTGAGCCCCAGGGATCCATCTGCCCTCATGTGCCAATGTCAGCGCACAAGCACGTGCTACCTTGCTTCTTTTTACATGGTTTCTGGGGTTGACCTTAGGTGCGTGTGCTTGGAGGGCAAGCTAAACTTTGCCAATTGGGTCTATTTACATTTTGAGAAAGGGCCTCACTCTGTATCCCTGGCTAGCCTGGGAACTTGCTATGTAGACAGGTCTAGCCTCACTATGCCTGGCGTGGTTTGAATTTTTAAAAAGGGTTTATGTTTATTTTCAGTCACATATGTATGAGTGTGGATATGAGCACATGAGTGTGCTTGTCAAGGTCGGAGGCAGCAGATCCCTTGGAGCTGGAATTACAGGTGACTTTTGAGCTGCTTGCCACTGAGGCTAGGAATTGAGCTGGGATTCCCTGCAAGAACAGTGTATGCTTAACTGCTGAGCCAGCCTCCTTCTCTCTCCCTCCAGGGTATCACTATACAGCCCTGGCTGGCCTGGCACTCATTACGTAGATTAGGGTAGCTTGACACTCACAGACAGCTGCCTGGCCCTGCCTCCTGAATGCTGGATTAAAAGTGTGCACTACCATACAAACTTAAATGATAGTTTCATCTTGTCCTTCTTCCTATTTACTTTAAGAGATTTATTTTAAATATGTGTGTGTGTGTGTGAGCAACTGAGTGTGGGTGCTCGTGTAGGCCAGAGGTTGGATCTCATGGACCTGGAGTTACAGTTGGTTGTGAGTCACTCAGTGTGGGTGCTGGCAACTGGAAAGGCAGTATGTGCTCTTCACTGCTGAGACACCTCTTCTCTTCAGCCCTTCCATGTTTGAGACAAGGTCTTTTGTAGCCCAGACTGGCCTCTAACTCTTGACCATCTTGTTTTAACCTTGGGTGCTGAGATTATAAGTGTGTTGCTACTATGGCCAGCACACGCTAGATTTTAATGGAAGCTCAGGCATTCTCAAGCTAAGGTCACATGAGACAAGGCAAGATTTATTTTTTTTCCATTTTGCTTTATGTGTGGGTGTTTTGTTTGCACACCATGTGCATGCAGTGTCCACAGAGGCCAGAAGAGGGCACCAGACACCAGGAAACAAAATTACAGATGGCTGGTTGTTAGGTGCGATGTGGGTGCTGGGAATCAAACCCAGGACTTCCAGAAGAGCCATACATGCTCTTAACTACTGAGCCATCTTATAAAGCATTTAAAAAAAATGGGCTTCATGCATAAAATACAGCCTGAGACTAAAACTCTGACCATATCCTTTGAGTACCTGTTCTACGGAGGGTGACAGGGCAGATAGCGTGGAGTGACTACACAGTTGGCCTTACAGGTCACCGCCTCATCAGGGTAACAGACAGCAGGAGAATCAAATTCCGCCCACTTTCCCTTCCACAAATGTTTGAATGCTATCTTCTAATACCCAGCTTCCTGAAAACCTGCTGCCAGGCATCTTCCTGGCTATTTCTTTCCTGATTGCAATGCCATGGCAACCAACAGCCACTTCTTGGGCATGGCCAGGGAGGGGTGGGCAAGTTCTCAACAGCAGAGTGTAAGGACCTGGAGTTCTTTCCCACTAACTCATCCGAACAAACTGGTCACCAGCAGTAATGCAACGTGGATGGTTAGAAAGTCCCGTTGCTCTCTGGTCCTGGGGGTCTGGACCACCACTCCACACCCTGAGGAAAAGGGCAGCTGCCCTTCCCTTCTGCCTCAGTCTGAAGCCATAAGCAGCAATGCCTACAGCCTTAACACTTGGGGGGGGGGCATCTGGAGACGCAGCCGAGCCTCATATTCCCCCAGTGAGCTACAGCCACAGCTCCTGGTGGAGCGTTCTCCTTAGTGCCAGTCTATGTACTCAACGTGGTCTGTGCTTCATGTCTGAGCCTACAGACACGGCTGTAACAAGCAGTCCCGAGCTGGGCGGCGTGGCCTCTGCCTGTAAACCTAGGGCACAGAAAGTTGAGCCAAGAGGAGGGGCTGTTCGAGGTTAGAGTGGCTTACAGAGTGAGGTTCCGTCGTCAAATGACACAACCTGAGTAGTCTACTTTCAGGTTTGCTACCAAATAGCTCAGAAAGGAGGCATGCGTGCTGTAAGTCATCCCTACAAGCTTGGCTTTCACTAGTGCTTGGACAGTGAATCTGCCAAGAAGATTCTGTGAAAGCCAGCCAATAGAATTAGAAGACTGGGTAGAGAGCTGGCTAGGAGGTTAAGAGCACTGGCTGTTCTTCCAAAGGTCCTGAGTTCAATTCCTAGCACCCACATGGTGGTTCACAACCATCTACAATGAGATCTGGTGCCCTCTGCTGGCGTGTAGTACAGGGTACTGTATAAATAATACTGAAATCTTAAAAAAAAAAAAAAAAACCTTTAGCTACAAATTCCCTAGGACTTATCATGCCATTCTTTGGGCTGGAGAGATGGCTCAGAGGTTAGGAGCACTGGCTGTTCTTCCAACGGTCCTGAGTTCAATTCCCAGCAACCACATGGTGGCACATAGCCATCTGTAATGAGATCTGGTGCCCTCTTCTGGCCTGCAGGTGTTACATGCAGAAAGAACATTGTATACAGAGCAAATAAACCTTAAAAAAAAAAAAAAAAAAAAAAGAATTAGAAAAGAGGTAGGAAACAAATACAGAGTTGCTATCCCAGGAAGAAACTGCTCAAAAGTGAGGTAGTCCCATATTTATTCCTTCATTCACAAATTATACACCACCATTTTTTTTTCTTTAAATAAAGACTTATTTATTTATTTTATGTGTATGAACACTCTGTTTTCATGCACACCAGAAGAGGAAATCAGATTCCATTGCAGATGGTTGTGAGCCACCATGTGGTTGCTGGGAATTGAACTCAGGACCTTTTGGAAGAGCAGTCAGTGCTCTTAACTGCTGAGCCATCTCTCCAGCCCTACACCACCAGTTTTAATGAAGGATTTTAAGAAGCAGGATATTGTAAGTGGAACTGAGTGTCTCTTGGGGGGAAGAGTCATGCTGATTTCTGGCTGTCTACTATTTTTCAATTACATACACACTACGCATTGAGTTTCCACTGAGTGGCACCCAGCGCTTCGCTCCTACAGGGAACCAGGAATGTCACAGGGAAACAGACTCATCGGTTAGTGAAATGAAATTGAGCCAAACCTGAGGCTAGTCTCAGCTGCCCGCAGATGAGCTGCGACCCTTGGCAGCATGCAGGTCGGCCTCTCCAGACCCTGGCTGTAAGTCTTCTCTGGGGTCAGGGTTTCTGTTAGAGGGCAGCTAACTCCTGCAAGCAGCAGTTAGCAGGCAGGCGAATGTCTCTCAACCACTGCTTTCCCAGTGCTCCGTGCACCAGACTTGAGGCTTAGGGCAGTTAGGTCGGCCCTACCCTTTCTGATGACAGCCCCAAACCCATATAGCCTCTTTCACCCATCCACCCGAGCTCCTTTCCTGAGGGCAAGAATGTATACTCTACACCAAGGGCCCCACAGGGATGAATGACAAGTCCAATAAGCAGGACTTCATCTGGCGGAGCTCCTGGACCTCATCACTCTCAGGGCCACAGTGCACCAACAGGATCTTCTCTGCCTTCCATATGGCATTCAGCGCTTCAGGCACTGCCAACCTGAACCAAGACAGGGTCAATCAGTCACAACGAAAGCTGCCTCCTTTCTGGACAGAGGACACAAAGGATCCCGTTCATTGCATCCTCTGGGGTTCTGCACACAGGGTCTGCGTTCATGCTGCCCCCCCCCCCCAGGGTCTTCCTAGCTAAGAGGGTAGATAAGAAACTTTCAGGGGCACACTGCAAAGCAGAGTTTGAGAAAAGTGTGTGTGTGAGAAAGAGAGTGAGAGAGAATAAAAAATCCTGAAAACAAACAAACAAACAAACAAACAAACAAAAAACCGGACAAATTTCAAGACCTTAATCAAAGCTTTGCACAGAGGTGTTCATTTGAGAGTGCCCTTGTTTAACCTGACTGGCTTTGTATCCTTCCCTCTCTCTGACCAAACATGAGACTCCCATGTCTGGGTGTCAGGTCTAAGCTGCAAACACTTTCTCTTAGCAGTGTACCCCATGAGATGTTATCAAGGCTGGAGCTATGGTATCCACACATCTGGGGACTCACTTCAAGTGATCTCAGTGCGAAACTGTGTGAGGGACCGACTCATCAGCTCTGCTCTTCCTTGTGGTTTATTTTTTTGTGCAGTGCTAGGGATGGAACCCAGGGCCTTGTGTATGCCACCAAGTGCAAGGCCAAGCGGGCAATCTCCTCAGCTTCCTTTTCTAATGTTTAAGGCAGGGGTTCTCAATCTTGATATGGGTAACGCGGGTCACATCCCACTGTGGAGGATGTCCTGTGCACTGTGAGTTTAGCTTTTACCCACTTGATGCTGGCAGGACTCTGCCTTCAAGCCACAACCACCAAAACTGTCTCCAGACATTGTCAAATGCCATCTGAAGGCAAAATTACCTCTGGTTGAAAACAACTGCTTTAAAAGGAATAGGAAGCAAACTAGGGAAACGGCAGGGCCCTGGAGCTGAGTGCTGGGAACGAGCGAGTCAAGAGAGGTGTGATTAAGTGGAGAGGAATGCTAGAGGGAGGGTGAGGCTGCCTGGAAGTCTTCCCTGGGAGACTCAATTCAGACCCAAGAGTTTTTGCCACATCTCTCAGGAGGAAATGCAAGGCCTCAGTCTGTCAGTGAAATGCAGGGCAAGGAGGAAGCAGAAGAGTTTCAACATGCTTACAGCTAAGTACAGTGCACTTCAGCCATAAAGTCACACACAGAAGTGCCTAGTAAAACACTGTGCAGTGTGTGCCCTGGCTGAATGCTGGGAAAAGGAAAGACCTACCCATTGAACAGGACTTGGGCCAGTTTGAAGAGCTCGTGGCCGATTTCCACACTAGCCGGCCCATGGCGGGCTTCAGCCACCCGCAGACTCTTCTGTGCATGTGCTGCAGACTTCCGCCAGTCTCCTGTGGGAAGAGAAAGGTTTCATTCTAGAAAACAAAACAAAACAAAACAAACCCCAAACACCATCAGCCCAAGGCTTTCAGGGTGAGGCAAGCAGAATGGAAGGGAGGACAGCATTCATGCAAAGAGCAAAAGAGAACCACACAGAGTAGACAAGGACCATGACTGAGCCAAGGCAGGGAAGAATTCGGGCCATACCTAAGGTAGCATAGGCCTGGGCCAGGCTGTCTTCAATTTCCCCCAGCACAGTGTGCTCTGCTGACAAGAAGCTCTCAGCCGCCTCTCGGCATCCCAACAACTGTTGAATGGCTTGCTCTATTGATTCAAAGGAAAAATGCCTCACAACAGACATAAACCTAGTTCTGGACATGAGAGCCCAGGTCGCAGGGTTGCTATCAGCTGGGCCAATGTGAAAATGCCCCTTTCTCTCCCTGAGTCGACAGCCCAGCATTCCAGGAAAGCTGCTGGTCTGCTTATGTTTTTCTCTTTCTAAAGTGCTAGATGAGACCTCCCCACATTTACCCCGGGGCTCTGAACATCCATTTTCCAGGACAACCAACTCCACTGCCCACCTGCAATCATTACTTCTCTTGACTCTAGGCTAAAGGTGAACTTCAGAATCTAGGCCAAAATGAGTGAAACAGATCTCTACCATGCCAGGGTCTAATAGCAAACCTCACAAATACCTTTGAGAAGAGAGGAGTCCTCTCCCTCTGCCAGTGCTTGGGCTAGCTACCAAGCTCTGCCTGTGAGCCATGCAGGATTTGCTGCTGCTACTGCTGCTGCTGCTGCTGAGGGCACAGCACTCTTCAAAGAGGTTAGGCCATTCAGCTGGGAGTTAAGATAATGACACTGAACTTCTGGAGCTGCACGAAGTCCGTGAGGTGGGAAAGCCTTTTTGGTGCTCGAGGAACTAGAACTATCTGGTGCAATTAGACATAGCTTAAAGCATCCTGTCTACTCTCAAGGGACACAAGAGTATGAGCTGGTCAGGGTTTGCTCTCACTGGCCTAGACAGCCATCGTGTGGCTGGTGTTGGGATAATTAAATTCAAGTCCTCAGTCATTTACTGAAGACTATTCTCGAGGGCAGGGTGATGCCAGAATAAACAAAGGGAAGGCGCAGGAGGCTTAAGGCGAGGGAGCCAGTCTCACCTGGTTTGCCAGTTCTGAGAAGCTTCTGGGCCACACAAACCTGCTGCTGAAGGTCCTGCAGGCGAGAGATCAGGCGGTCCCTGCTGACGGAGTCTGTGCAAGATTTGCTGCTACAGCTCAACACATCATTTCCCTGTGGAAGTCGGTTCTGTCCTTATTCCTAAGCCAGAGCAGTTATCCACACTGCGTGTTGCATGTACTTGAGCTACAGGGTCACTGGCCCGACGGGGAAGAGACTCCTGGAGTCGCACATCGCAAACAAGGCCTGAGTGAACTTGGTCTCATAGCAATTCTAATGGAAGCAGTAGCTGACCCCACTCCGAGACTTAACTTTTGGACAGAACTGATATAGTTTGTAATCCTTTCCACCTCAGCAGCTCCTCTCATCTCTTTTTTGCAACAGGCTTTTAGATGATAAACACATGTATGATGGTTATTAATAAAAGCCATAAGAAAATCAATACAGAAGGCCCATGGTGAACACCTTTAATCCCAGCACTCAGGGGGCAGAGGCAGAGAGATCTCTGAGTTCAAGGCCAGCCTGGTCTACAGAGTGAGTTCCAGGACAGACAGGGCTAGACAGAGAAACCCTGTCTTGAAAATCCAAAAGAAAAGAAAATAAAGCAAGTTTGACGTGGCGACACCCTGCAGTAACTGGCACATGGGAGTAGAGGCTAGGATGACAAGTCTGGGGCCAGTCAGGGCTACATAACGAGTCCCAGATCACTCTAGAGAGAGAAAGAATCAGAAGAGGAAGAAGAAGCAGAAGAAAGAGAGCTATGGCTCAAAGGATGATCGTCTTACTAAGAATCTACTAGAGTTAACCAAGTGTGGGCCTGTAGGTATCTCTGGGCTTGGGAAGCTGGGGCAGGGTGATCTCAAATTTGAGGCCAGCTTGGGCTAAGAAGGGAATTCTGGGCTAGCTGGGGATGTACAATGGCGCCCTATCTCAAGAGAGAGCAGGAGGGACAGGAGAGCCAATGCACAGGTGCTAGGGCCCAGCATGGTGGTGCACTTGGGAGGCAGAGGCAGGTGGATCCCCATGAGTTCCAGGCCAGCCAGGGCTGCACGGTAAGGCCTTGCCTATAACAACAAAAAGCGTGCTAGGTAAGGCTTCATATGTGACTCTTGAGTTTACAATTTTAGCTTCTCCACACACAACTAACTCCACTTACAGTATTCCTAATGAGGATGCCATTCTCTGGTAGTGGAGAAAACCTTCCATCTGGGCATGAATGTTGAAGACTCCTGTGTCTGTGCCAGTTTCTCTATGGTGTGCCCTCACTCTCCCGAGGTCAATGCTCTTCACTGAGGGCTCAGTGGTGGTTCTTTCCTTGGGTCAAATGGCTGAAGAGAAACTCTGTGGATCTGCCTTTCCTACAGTTAGGACATCGTGACACACAGGAAGACTTTTGCTCAGACTTGACTTTGGACTGGCACATGTCCATCCTAGTGGGCTGGGTGGACCAGGAGTTAGACAGGCTGACAACCATCTTGTCCCCGGAAGAGGGCGGGAGTGTGTCTCATGAGGCTAGTGCAGAGGGATGGAGCTGAGAAAACATTAGCTTCGGATCATGGTGATATTATTGAGATCCTTCTGCCTCAGCCTCCTGGGTGCTAGGATTACAGGTGTGCACCACCAAGTACCAGACCTGATACAGAACTTCTGTTTTTCGAGACAGGGTTTCTCTGTGTAACCTTGGCTGTCCTGGACTCGTTTGTAAGCCAGGCTGGCCTCGCACTCACAGAGATTGGCCTGCCTTTACTTCCCCAAGAGCTGGGCTTACAAAAGCGAGCCACCAGGCCTGGCTGGTACAGAACTTCCCCCCTCCCCGACTCTGTTGGGGCACTCCCTTTGTGCTCTGTGCAACGCTTCTATGCTATTATTAAGTTCTGACTCTGTACAGGCTGGACTTCGGTATTGTTAAGTACCACCTGGCTCAATGCTTTGTAAACATACACTTCCTTTACCTTCTTATCGGTTTAATAAAGAGCTGAACGGCCATAGCGAAGGCAGGGCTTCCAGCAGACTGGACTCTGGGAAAGACTCTGAGGCGGCGAGATTCGCCAGCTGAATGCAGAGGAAAGGAAATGCGCCCTGCAGCAGAGCGCAGATTAACATAAAGGAGTTAATTTAAGTTAAGGGCCAGTTGAGAACGAGCCTAAGCTAAAGCCAAGCTTTTTTTTCAAGCCAAGGTTTCCCTGTGTAGCCCTGGCTGTCCTGGACTCACTTTGTAGACACACAGAGATCCACCTGCTTCCACTTCCCTGAGTGCTGGCATCACAGGCGTGTGCCACCACACCCGCTTAAGGCAAAGCTTTAATAATAAATATAAAAGGTCTCTGTCATTATTGGGAGCTGGCAGTCAAAGAAAGTAAGCTTTGAGTAAGCTAAGAGTTTGTGTCATCTATAAGGAGAAATTCAATTTCACCCTTTGGTTGTTTGCATGGTCAGGCAACGTGTAGGGATGGATTATAAAAATGGTGGCGCTAATGGTGCTCTCTATGAGCCTCCGATGGTCTCTCCCGTGACTGCTAACCTTTGGGCTGCAGCACTGGCCTCTGGGAACAGCAGAGAAGATTTACCTGCATGAGCGCCCTGCAAGTGTTACAGCAGAAGGCTTCCCACCTGCGGGCTGCGGCTGCTTCCAGAGTCTCAGCCTGACAGGCTGGACAGCTGCAGTCAAAGAAGTACTGAGAACTCAGCTTCTGCTGCCTCTCAGCAACACCCATGCGGCTCTCGTGAGGTCCTGGAGAGAGAGCACCCACAGTTACTCCTCATGGCAGGACAGTCAAAGCCTACCCACAAGCCTTTTACTCAACAGAGGGGCAGGGATATTCATCATGTGACTGACACGGTGGAAGTGGGTGGGGTTCTAGCTCAGTGGGTACTCTCCCATCGTCTCAAAAGAAATAATAAAACATGGGTGGAAGTGGATAAGCTTTCTAGCTGCTGGAAGAGGAGGAGGAGGAGGAGGAGGAGGGAGAGGGAGAGGGAGAGGGAGAGGGAGAGGGAAGGAGAAGGAGAAGGAGAAGGAGAAGGAGAAGGAGAAGGAGAAGG